GTCCCCAGTGGTTAGGCTGAGTGGCTTCCTTTCTTTTCTCCAGTCAACAAAGCATGGCCTCCTCACCTGTTTCTTTCTACTCTTTCATTTCTGTAATTCAATAGCTATTGTCAAGTCCTAAGCCAGAGGCATGTGAGCTGTGCTTGGAAATGTGCAGATGGACAAAGCTGTTTGGATATGTTCCCATTGCAGCAAGGCCCCAGGTGGACCCCTCTTTGAAAGAGTGCAGAGCTCTGCAAAGTGGCTTACCTGTGTTGCTGGGCACAAGCATGGGCACAAATTTTCTGCTTGCTACTTGGTCTYATGCAGCTATTTATCTGCATCAGAGGTGCTTCTGTTTCCCAGCATATCAGGAATGTGTTTGCTCTGGGTTCATAGTTCTCCTTGCATGAGCACAGATAGTGCAAAGTAAAAAAACTCAGACTTTACAGGGTTCTAGAAATCCATGGAAAAAAGGTTCAGTTCTAGACTCTTCTCCTTATGTTGGAATTAAGAAAAATAAGGCCAATGCAGGCAAGCAAACTGGATTGATTTTTTTTGCAGGCTTCTGCTACTCAAGTTTCAGTTTTCTTTAGTTGACTGGAGCTATCATTTCTCCTGGTAGGGGAAAAAAGCTGCTGATGAAGGTATAAGGCTTATTGCAGCTAAGCCAACATACTGAATGATAGAGCAGATTGATCAAGTTGATGTAATTGAATTTATATCTCCAATGCTGTAGAGATCAATTTGGAAGTAATCCTGATAATCAGAATGTGTTCAGTATCCAGAATGGGCATTTTGTCAGGAGACCTGTTAACCACCATAATAAATACTTAACAGATAAGGCTTGTTGAAAACAACTGCTGACACAAGCTCATTTAGACATGCTTGTGTGCATGTCCAGTGACCAGACTGGTATCCTGACAGGCTATTCCTTTTATTTCATGTGCTGGAATTACTGAACTGCATAAAACAGTTATTTGCTCTGCTGTAAACATTTTGCTGTCTTGGATTAGTCTTGTTCTTATGTTGGTATTAGCAGATGATAGGCAGCTAAATGATTACATTTGGGTAGCAGCATCTGCCATTAATATGTAGAAGTGCTGGCAGAGCCTGTAGTGCTCAAATCTTAGGAGGAAGAGAAATTCTGTAGTTGTTCTGTGGACACTGAATTTATTTGGAACYTTTCTAAGGTTGCTTACCTGCATAGGATCCAAGTGCCACGGTTGTGTTTTGAAGTGTGTTGAATAATCCTTAATTTTTACCCTAAATGGGGTAAGGGGAATGAAATAATCTTTCTCAGTTTGCCTGGGCACTATATTTYACAGGGTCTAATGCAGAGGGTAGGTATTGCCTCGTGTCCTGGGGGAGGCTAAAAACATGCAGGAAACTTAAATATCTTTTGGTCTGACRGGATTTTTTCTTTTACAGTGATTCTGATGGGCAACTCAGTGGGAAAGAAGGAAAAATGAACAACTTGATGCAGGTATTCCTATATACTTTAAAATATTTACATTGAAAGCACATTAATTTACATAGTAAGTTAAATACAGAGCAGTCTGGCTGCAATCTCTCAAGAATTAATCTCTTTTATCCAGATATTTCACATATATAAACCTTGTGGAAACAAAGGATTCCCTTCTGATAGATGCTAGTTAATAACTATGGATTTGTGTGAAATGCATAAAACTTTGCTGACAAGGCATTTCACTTGTTTTTTTCTAGAAAATTTAGATATGTAGCTGCAAATTTGTTCTTTYAAAATACTTCAAGTTAAAATTCAAATTACTCAAATTTCAGAAAATACTGAAAACTTGTTTGTTTAGCATAATCTGTGAATCGTAATATTTAAGATGACTTTCACAAGTAACCTCTTTTGTTGTTTTAATTTCTTTGCTTKCATTTTAAGTGAAAAATATTAGGATTTTATAATGTATGTTGTGGATTTTCTAATCTTTCTTCACAAAAAGATTGCATATTTATTTGAAAATGCATATTTCTGTTTACAAATGTATCTTTTTTCTATGGGTAAAGGCAGCGTCATAAAATAATTCTTGTTCTAGCCTTTCAACACTCATGTCCTTTTGTCTTCTTATTTGCATAGTAGAAAGTCCATCAATTATTTGTTTTTTCTCTCTTCACTTATGAACATGACTCCATAAAGCAAAACAAATGACAGAGCAGCTGAAGAATTTGAAGGTAGCCAACTGCTCATATATCATTTAAAGGTCAGGATCCAATTAGATATGCTAATTTATTGGCTAATATTCCAGTCTGACAAGGATGCAAGTTGCTCCTGTCATGTAACTGGTTTTTATGGAGTATGGGGACTCTATCTGAGGTTTCTTGTTATTGGTGCAGAACAGTCTGCAGTGAGCCAAGTCGTGCACAGTGGTGGCAGTTAGGACAAATGTGACAACAGTGAAGGGCTTTTGCCACAGCCTGTTTGTAACATGGTACTAATTTATTTCATGCTGTCAAACAGCTTTGATGGGCAAGAGCTGCATCCATGGTGAATGTCTAGCAATAGGAGGCTCAATGATGTGTTTAACGAAGTATTTGTTTTTCTACCTGTATGGAGGAAATGTGCTTGATAGTTCACAGATCTGTTGCATGTAGTTTGCCACTAGAAAAGGTATTTATTGTGAAGATGAAGATGTAAGAGCTGTTTTGAATGATTGTTAAATTGATGGCACATCCTTGGARGGAAATTAGTAGTGAGGCTGGATCAAGAAGGCTACTTCATATTAAAAACCACTGAGCAAGTGACTAGCTGATCTCCTTTGCGCATGAGGCTTCTGGTTTTGGTGCTAATTCAGTTGTCAAAACAGATCACAAAATGACACTGTAAAAGGTTAGTAGCCTTTTTCAGATGGACACTTTGTGATAGCAAGTGGATGAGGCTGACATGTTCCAAAGTAAATTGGGGAATCTTTAGGGGGAAAAAAAAATCCATAAATAAAGGACAGGCTCTATAACCTTTCTTCTATGGCATATCTATTGCAAAGGAACCTGCAGTGCTTTTTTATATGTCATTCTTTGGAGGCTTCTCTTTTTAGAGGTGCTCTTTGCTCTTATTGCCAAAAACAATAAATTTCTTCAAATAACCTTCTGTTCACCCCACTTTTTAACCACCCACTTTAGAAAGTTTTGGCATTTTATGAATTTATATAGACCATGCCAGGACAATAAGAACCTAATGTTCCTGGAACACTATTGGTTCTGACTGATTTTCTGTCTTGGCTGGTTGTGTAAGAACTGGATACCTTTTGAAAAATGATGTAAAATGAAAATGCTGAGGCATGAGTAACACTTCATATAATTTGCAGAAAGGCTGAATTAGTGTGACCATCAACTTGGCTTTATCCCAATTACGTAAAAATGACTGMAGTGATTTTTATCTGCTACCAAGCAGAGACCTCCACTCAGCATGAGAGAATCAAGAGCTACTTCTCCAGTTTTGAGGTTTCCCACTTTTCTTCCCTGTCATGACATTTAAATAGAGTACAGACATGACCATCTAACAGCTGTCTGTGGGCCTCCAGTTTAAATCGGATGCAATTGTATCACCAAATTTTTTCAGAGCCAGTTCATAAATACGAAGTTTGTTTTCCAAGTGTTTTGGTTGCATAAAAAGTCTATTCCATCAGCTCTTTTTCCAGTTACATTCACAGCAGTGTGCATCCCTTCATGCAAGTATTGGGCCCAGAACCTCAGCATCTTCAAATACAGAAATTGTAATGTATCTGTGTATATGAGGTCAGTGTGACAAGCAAATAGATTTTTTTTCCAAAAGAAAGCTTAAGACCTATGGAGTGGTGTAAATGTTTGCTTATCTAATGGCAATAAGGTAAATTAATAGTTCTACAAGGAAAATACTTTTATCTGTAATTGTGTAGTGATGTTTGTGGCTGGCACAGTTGAAGTGGGCAAGTTAGTGACTTATAAGATAAAGGTGCTTCTGTGGAAAAGGCAGGCTGATGATTGCTTTTCTGGGGAAAACCACTGCTTGTTAGTAACCAGTTTTTACCAAGAAACGGTGGAAAAACATCTTTCGATATAAAGGGCATGGTAGAGATTGTGCTAAGCTTTGGACAAAGATTTTTCTAAGAATTTAACTTTATTCTGTGTTACCTCCTGAAATAATATATTCATTTGCATATGCCTGCAGACTAACAGGCCTATATGTTTTTTTCTTGCTTTTTTCACTTTTGCTTTCCCCTTCATAGATAACCTTAATTAACTAGTTACCAACTTTAAGCAAAGGTCAGTGGACCCTGTGAAGTTAGGGAAATTAATCAGATTATCATTGATAATCAGCCCTTTTGAACACATTTATATCCTTCTCTGCCACATGTAYATATTTTTGTGTAAGCAAACAGGTGCTGAAAGGAATTTAAGGCAAAATGTTTACAGTTTGGCATCTATATTTTTTGAACTAGTGTTTTATTTTGGGGGGTACTGTGCTGTGAACTTGAGTGTCTCATGTTGCTGGGAGAAAATTCATCCTGTCAAGGTGCCAAATTCTTGTTTTTCATAGCCACATGAGAAAGTAAAGYAATTCTCTGATAATACAAGTATTCTGACTTAATTCGTGATGACAYGAGTTGCACAACTTTCATGTATTTCTTTACAAATACTGCGGCTGGCTTGATAGACACTGAAAGGGTTGTGTTAATGACTATTTTCAGCCAAATAAACYCTGCGACCCGATGGGAAACTATGTTGTCAGGTTTCCCAGATAGACAGGTTGTTCCATCAGAGACAGAATCTGAAGAATTGTCATGTAGAGAATCCTGAAAATGACTGATGACATAATTCTCCTTGATGAATCTTGTTATTTGTCCCTCMTAATGCAGCTACTCATAACGGCTGGGGTGTTTTTTGGCTGTTATCTTCCATCCTGAAAATGAAGGCATTAGCAGAATTAGAGTCTTAGCAGTAAATGAAGCCTAGGAAACACTTTGGAAAATAAGAACATTTCTTCATTAAATTTAAAAGCAAGTGCTTTCTTTTAAAAATAATAAAATAGGGGTTTTATACAACGAAGGGTTTGTTTGGGATTTAGTTTATTCTGTGGCCTTATTTTGGTCATTTAGGTTGAAACAGATTCACTGTCAGTATATGGACTCATGGATGAATCATCTAATAATTTCATTTTAAGAGCACAAAGAGTTCAATGTAATTGGGTAGAGAATCTGGGTAAACTTAGGRTTGAACAAAAGCAAACTGTCTAATCAAATGTAACCCAATTACAAAACTAAGTTTTACCCATACTTTCCTATTAATACTTAGAGGGGCACATTGAATTTGTCCCTTTAGCTTTTATAAATGCCATGCTGTCTTGTCTAATTTTAGGCAATATTTGGTTTACTTTTAGATGCTGGAATGACACTGGCTAAAAGTGCCCTTTGTCAGTGTAGTAGGTACCATTGTAACTCACTGTTCAATAGTGGAACAAATAAATGCATTAGTAACAAAAGCACAACTGGCCAAAAGTTGCATCATCGAGCATTATGAAAGTTTTAACCTAAAAACAGAGTCTAGTTTTTTGTCACTTCTATTGAATTAGGTTTATTTAACCATTCCTCAGCAGCACCTGAAGTGACCTTGTAAAACTATTACTTGATTCCCYAAAACTTATGCTGTTTTTCTTTGGAAAAACAAACAAAGAATTCAGCATCCATGTGGGTTCTTTCAGAGTAAGAGTATTTGAGTGCCTCCACCTTATGGTAATTCAGTAAGAAATTGGGAAGAAGGATGTGAGCAGTTGAGCATGGAAACATGAATGGGACAGAACAGAAACCTCACGAACCCTGCTCTCTCCAAACTTTGTGTACCTSAGATCGCTAATTTTGGTTTATAGACTGTGCTGTGCAGRGAAATAAAGGTCAAGCTTTTGGGGAGTGTGACATCTATTTTTAAACAGCACAGGTGGCACGGGCACCCTGGCTAGTGCTTTGCTCCCTGCATGAAAATGTGAGTCCTAGTTGGGTACAGTTCCAGTACTGCACTGACTTTGCTGGCCACTGTGCTGCACGTTCCTGCTAAGCTCTGCACACCAAATAGGAAAGTYGGTGACAGATTGGGAAGTGAGCTCCCTTGGGTCCAATGAGTGCAGTCACCTGCTGTCAGAAACACATGTTGTGTTTGTTTAGACGTGTTCTCCCAGAAACTAATCAAGCCCTGCTATTAAACAACTAGGTTATTACTTTACCCCTTTTCTGAAGCATATTACTAGGTAGTTATGGAATTCTAYTGGTTTCTGGTTCAATACCCTTTGCTAGAATCCAGTATAAATGGTGCAATTAAAGTGTGTGTTCTTGTGCCAGCATTCTGCCCTTCTGTTCAACTTCTGCTGCTTCCCTACTTCTGAGGGCATTAAGGGAGAGCAATTATACTCTTTCCACTAAACAAGGAGAAACTAAGCTCTTTTTAGGTTATATGTGCCCTGCTAATCTGTCTTGGACTCTGCATTGGCACATG